CTCTCTGCTAAATATATTTACAAATCATCATCATAAGCCATGTTTTGTTCATATGTGGAACGATGACTAGGGATAAGTTATTACATGATAGAGATGTCCCGATCCAGGTTTTTGCACTTCCGATCCGATACCGATATTGTTTTTGGACTTCCGATACCGATACTGGCCAATACCAGCCTATCCGAGCATGTATTTAAGTTTAAGTTAAAGTATTTAGCCTTAGTTGTAAGACTCATGTTGAAAAGGGTTTTAGTACTCTTGATAACATCTAGCCAGCTAAATTAGGTGAGATTGAATAAAACACAATGCTTGGTAACAACAAACTTACCTGTTTATTAAGAGATAAACACAAACTGGACAAAATTATGAATAGCAATGTGAAATTGCACAGTGAACAGTAAAACCGTAAACAGTTAAAGGTGCAAGTATTACTGTAAGTTTTAATAAAAATGCAAAACAGGGAAACACTGGCGCAAAATAGTGGAATGGATCGTTTCAATCGGCGAAACTGGAAAATACCGGATTTTTTTTAAAAAACTGGATCGGCAGTCTGGATCGGCATTTTACATGCTTTGCCGATACGCATTTTTTTTGCCAATATCGGCGTCCGATCCGATACGTGGATCGGATCGGGACAAGCCTATTACATGATGGGATGTGGCATTTCCTGTCCATTTTGTTTATCAGAATGATGACACCCTCTCAGCTCACTATATTTCTAGGCATAGTGTCCTTAACAAAGAGCAACAGCTACTGTTATTTATTTGATCCTTTTATATTTTGTCACTTGCAACACTGATTCCCACACAAATATTGGACTGCTGTGTTAAACCATAAACTACTAGATGGTAAGAAGTCTTTGCATTGTACTTTTTTATATGTTTACCGAGTTGATGCACCTGGATGCTCTGAGCAGACAGACAGGAGGACACAGCATTATAGCCACTGTCTGCATCACTGACAAATGTGCTTTGGGTGCCTTGTGGAGAAGAATGGATGATGGACACTCTTCTAGCTCATCAAACTTGCTACCATCCATTACTCTTTTTCGTCCTATTTAGAGAAAGTGTGGGAAATGTAGATGATATATGTCACAAGTACAGTTGGAAATTGGTACTATCAATTATTGAGGCAAAAACCTCAGCATACAGTGCGCACAGAGTCCACTTTGCTCGCAGAATTTAGTTCTACAATGTGGGAGTCTTCAACTATCGGTTTTTGCTAAAGCTTGTCGTTTGATCACTCCAAACTGATTTTTGTGTTTGCATTTAAGGAACAATGGAGATCAGTCTCGTTTTTGCTAAAAGCGCTTACTATGTTTCGCAGAGTACCTTTGTTTTTTGAACATTGTCTCTGTTGAAACCAAAATGTATCCAAAAGAACAGGTGCGCTGTGTTGTTTTTTTTTTTTTAACCATGAATTCTTCATCATCTATATTTCCTCCATTTGTCCACTGTTGGCTCGGTCATTGAGACTCTCACTAAACTTTCACCTCAGCATCTATGAAGGGAGCTATCTAATGAAAAGTAATCCATCCAATCAGTCCAATACGTGAAAGGTTTCAAATGATTTTGCTGGCGGTTTCTTTCTGTGAAAAAATAAATTCTTCCCCTCCACTGTGCTACATGCATGCTAAGTGTGTGGGATTGCTGTCAAGTCAATGAGCCGATGCAATCACCTGGTTTTCCTAAGATAGAAACTTTGAACCAATGTGATTGTATGAACTGTTTGAACTTCCTCTGTAAAGTGCCTTGAGATGATGTGTAATGAATTTGCTATATAAATAAACTCTATTGAACTGAATTTAAATTGAATTGACTGGTCAAATACTTCAATCTTCTGTGTGATTGATAAAACACCGATATACAGCATAGTAGGGCTAAGCAATATTGCCTCAAGTCATTATCACTATGAATTGCGCAGTTTTACCTCGATAACAATAAATGCACAATAAATGCCCCGGCTCCTCTATCAGAAATAAAGGCATGTGCAAGAAATGCAACTGATCTATTTATTATTTATTTATTTATTTAATAAATCACATTACATATTGCTTTCAATTAAATATTAAAGTCTTTTACCCATTCAGGTTAAAACATTCAGCAATGTCTTATTGAACAGGGGGAAAGTGTTACCTCTTGCAAAAGCTTTTCTGCAAAGGTATCTGCGCCTTTTGCACATCTTTGAACTCAGCAGAGCGATTGTGCTCTAGGTGATGGAGGTTGGATTTGTTACTTAGGGTAGTCCCGACATTTTTCAGGCAAACTTTGCATTTGTGTTGTGTTGTGTTCTTTTGCTCAATATCTGTGACGTAATTTTAGTGCCAATGAAATGAGCATGCATTGAGAACAATGTGCATGGTTTAAACTCGCACATCCTCGCTCAAAGCTGGTCTGTCACACGCATGACCGCGCTCTCGACTTTTTCTATGCACACTTAGCTTCATCTCTGCTCTTGCTCGTCTCCACAGGATTAACTGATGTTATTTCGTTTACAGCTGTGTTAGGGGCTCATATGCCATTCTCTTCGTTTATGGTTCTGACTGGTTCAGTGGAGTTACGTGAAGGAAATACCAGCCACTACAGCACACTGGAAAAATGGCATAATTATTTACCAACATGGGAAATTTGCGCCAGTTATCGTATTGAATGATGGTAACTAGGGCTGGGCGATAATTCAATAACGATATAT